CTAAGACATGTGATAAGGAGAAACACCATATAGTGCAAGGAGTATGACCAAGAATACAACTACGGTACTGAACACGTATACTCCTAAGCGGTAATACAATCGTAACATGTATGTCTTCCTGAACACCGAACACAAACTGTATAGTACAAACTCACCTGGGCGGGATCCAACGGGTGGGAAATATTCGCCTCCTGTCATTACTAAAATTAAGATTATTAGTACACTAAAGCTAATATAATCTTCAATTTTACCACATGACAGGAGGCTTCATATTTGCATTTTTAAAGCTTAGCCTTGACCAGTGTGAAGGAAGCGTGAGAGGAGTGACGGAAGTAAAACGTCCTAAACGTACTCTCCCGTGTCCAGTCTGCGTAACGCATAATGTCGGTTAGGGAGGCGCCTGCCAAAAAAGCGAATGCGCTCCGAAGCCGGATTCGACTCCTGCTAACCTTAAAAGCCAGTGAACCCATCTGGCCAGGGTTGTTGTAGACACCGGTCCGTGAGGCCTTACGTAAGAAATCAGTAGCTGACCCGTCGGGGTACGCCGAAGGGTGGCTGTGATTTCTGTATACCTCATTAGTGTCTTGACCACGCATAGCTTGGGGTCTGATTCAAAATACGGGTAAGTCACCGAGGACGAATCCGATTTAGTCCGTCTTGATATGGAAAAGGTGACTCCCTCCGGGATGAGAGAGACACCATCCACGTCAAACACCCTAATGTCTGACACCCGTCGGAAAGAGACGAGGCATAACAAAAGGGCCAGTTTGGCTGAGAGCTGTTTCAGCGATAGAACGGGGTTGTCCGGCCAGCCCCGAAGGAAATCCAGCACCCCATTAACTTGCCAGAGGCTGGAATATTTGGGTGCTGGGGGTCTCGTAAGTCTGGCGCCCCGCAGTAGACGACATACCAGCGGGTCTTGACCCACTGGCCTGCCTTGTACTTGGACGTGCGCCGCTGAAATAGCCGATCTGATCACGTTAAGGGATCTATATGATCGACCCATCGAGAAAAGATGAGCGAGATAGTTGAGGATCAGTGGGACAGAGGCAGTAAAGGGATCGGAATCCCTTTCCACGCACCAATCACTCCAGGCTGACCAGGAGGAGATGTAACATCTCCTGGTGCCAGGAGCCCATGAGTCCCACAGGAGGTCTTTAGTAGATTGCGATAGGCCGTGGACCAACCAGGAGCCCCTGAAATCGTCCAAGCCACCAGTTCCAGTTGTCCTTCCAGGACGAGGGGATGGAGTTCCCCTCGAGGTCCTGACAGGAGGTGGGGAAAGGTCGGAAGCCGAATGGGATGGTCGTGGGACATCTCCAGGAGGTCCGGGAACCACGGTTGACTCTGCCAGAGAGGTGTTATGAGCAGGAGCGATATCCTGTGAGTGCGTGTGCACCGCAGTAACCGTGGGATCATAGAGAATGGAGGGAAGGCGTAGGCCCCGTGAGAGGGCCAGTCCTGAAGAAATGCGTCTGCTGCTTCGGACATCGGGTCCGGGAGCCAGCTGTAGTATCTTTGAAGTTGATGGTTGGTCCTGGAGGCGAACAAATCTATTGATAGTGGCCCCTTCCGCTGCCGTAGTGTCTGAAATATTTCCTCGTTGAGTTTCCAAATGCTGGTGTCTCTCCAGTGTCGGGAAAACCAGTCCGCCGTCAGGTTGGAGACCCCTGGGAGGTATTCCGCCTGTATCGTGATGTTCCTCCGTAGGCAGAAACTGTAAATGTCCTTCGTGGCTTCGGTCAGGTCTTTCGACCTCGCTCCGCCCAGGCGGTTGATGTATTGCACCGCCGAGATATTGTCCATGCGGAGTAGAATACAGCAATTCGACCTGTCCTTGGCCAGGCTGCGGATGGCGAAGGAACCCGCGATCAACTCCAGGCAGTTGATGTGTAGGTTGGTCTCCTCTCCCTGCCATGGGCCCCCCGTGGAGGCGTCCGAGCAGTGGGCGCCCCATCCCCACAAACTGGCGTCCGATTCCACGATGAAGTCTGGGGAGGGGCCGAAGATCGCCTTGCCGTTCCAGGCTTGTATGTGAAGTAACCATCATCGCAATTCCGATCTTACCTCCGGAGTGAGTGGGATCCAGTGGTCGTAGGAATATCCGGTGCGCAGATATCCCGCTTTCAGCCGTTGCATGGCCCTGTAGTGTAGAGGGCCCGGGAATATCGCTTGTATGGATGAGGACAGGAGTCCCACAATCCGAGCGAGCATCCTGAGCGGTATCGTGTCCATCCTCAAAATTGTCTGATTTCCTTCCTTATTGAGGCAATCTTTTTCGAGGGAAGGCTTAGCACGCATTCCCTCGAGTCGATGTCGAAGCCCAGGAATTGTACTGACTGGGATGGAGAGAGAGACGACTTCTGTCTGTTCACTATGAACCCCAGAGATTTTAGCAAGTGAACTACAAATCTCGTCTGCGATCGTAGCCTGGAGGCGGATTCGCAAAAAATCAGCAAATCGTCCAAGTATACGAGACACCGTATGCCCCTTGTATGGAGGTGAGCCATCACTGGTCTCAGCAGCTTCGTGAAGCACCACGGGGCCGAGCTGAGACCGAATGGTAGGCACGTAAACTGGCACACCCGTCCTCTCCATCGTAAACGGAGGAACTGACGGTAGTGCCTGTCAACCGGAACCGTGAGAAACGCGTCCTTGAGGTCCAGGCGCGTAAACCAGTCGTTCTTGACGAGAAGGTCTTGTAGAAGATGGATTCCTTCCATCTTGAAGTGTCTGTAGACTACGAAAGAGTTTAGTTGCCGGAGGTTGATAACCGGTCGAAACTCGCCCGTCTTTTTCTTGACCAAGAAGATGTTGCTCATGAAGCCTCCCGCGTCCGGCGCGTATTGAATCGCGCCCTTTTCGAAGAGCGCGTGGATCTCTTCGTCCACCAGGCGGTTTTGTTCTGACGACATGTGGATCGGGGAAAGGGGGGCGGTTTGGACGGGTTGCATGGCAAAGTCTATTACGAAACCGCCTACCGTCTGGAGGACCCAGGCGTCCCTGGTAATCAGCTCCCAGTTCTGGAAGAAAAAAGATAGGTTGCCTGCAATAAACTTTGGTGCATCGGTGTGTGTAGATGGACTCACCATTGTTGAAGCGGCCGCGCCCACGGCCTCTGAAACCTCTGGTCCTCCCAGTTCCTCGGAATGTTGAGGGTCTTTGTGATGAAGACGGGAAGAAATTTGAGGTTTGCGTTTATGATCTGGAACCTGAGGCCCAAAATCGGCTGGTGGCACGGCTCCGTTGTCGACCAGCCCTTCCAAAAACACCTCTTGCGGGCGGAGTGTGGAACACCTGCTTGAGGGAGGTTTGAGCCTTGTTCAAGGTAGTGAATAGGTTCACATGTCTTTTGAGTTCCATGATAAAGGCATCACCAAAAAGCAGGCCCTGGGCCCTAGGACCAAATTCCTTAGCTCCGAGGCCCAGGAGCTTGCTATCAATCCGAATCAGTGCCGATCTGCGTCTCTCGACGCAAAGTGCGGCATTAGCGTTGCCCAGAAGGCACACTGCGCGTTGAGCCCATTCTCGTATGACGTGAGGGTCCAGTTGTGAGTCTTGGCTGAGGGCTAAGTCTGCGAAATACAGCATTTTGGCGATGGGGCCGAGCAGATCCAGCACTTTGTCCTGTGCAGCCTTCATGCCTTTCTCCACCCCTTTGCGTGTGTCTCTGCCCGTGCGTGACATGAAGACCACCATTGTGTCGTCAAATTCGGGCGTCAGTGCCACTTTATCGGGGATCAGCGGTCTGGGGCATTCGGCCCTGAGGCGCGCCCGCACCTCTTTTTCTAGTGGCTTGCGTAACCAGTAGTGGATGAATTTTGCCAGGTGATCCGGCAGCGTCCACTCCGATGAACGCGGGTGCCGAATGGTGCGTGGGTCGAATAGTAGCGTTCCCTGGTCATCCAAAAACACACCGTCTTCGGACGGACCGGCTTGACGGTCGTCGCCGGGTTCCTTGCTTAGGAAGGTCTCCTTGACGTAAGTCGCAGAGGTAGGTGGTAGGTCCTGCCAGTCCTCGTTGTCCGAGGGTGACCCGTCCCCGTGCCATTCGTCCACCACGTCTAAGGCGCGTGGGCCATAGGTATCTTCCTCGTCTGAGTATTGGGGTGGGAAGAGTGCGGGTTGTTGGTCCGCGTTCTTTATCTGCTTGACGGGCGTCTTGCCCTTAGCCTTGGTGGAGGGGGGGCTCGAGG